AGAGGTAGGGTGGTGTGTGTGTGTGTGTGTGTGTGTGTGTGTGTGTGTGTGTGTGTGTGTGTGTAAAGAAAATGGTTGTGATGTAATAAATGGTCATTATTATATATGAGTAAATTTTGTCTTTGTGTAGATTCCATATTTTTGCCAAATCATGACAAGCTGCATTACATTTGTGTGCTCTTGTAGTTAGCAATTGAGAAGCACAAGACTGTGAGTATAGAAGTGACTTATCTGATCATGAGACGTTTGTAGGGGAAAAGAACTTTATCCATGTCATTACTTGTTTACTCTTTCAAGAATAGCTTAGCTTTGAACAGGAACTTCATTTGGCATAGGTTTTTGGACCGTTAGTAAAAGGGGATCATGTTGCTTTTCCTACCTGAAATGGAATAAACAGAAGCTGCCATAAATTAAACGAAGTAAACAAACAATGTAATGTAATATGAATGTTCCGTACATTAATAAATTCGAGTATTTTCCTGGATTTCATAGAGAGTATCTTTTGAGGCAGCAGTGCGCTTAATAGGTCAACGTAAGTACATACTCTTCCTTCTTCCCTATGTATAAACAACTAAAGCAGCCCAGGAAGCATTGTTTTAGATTTAGATGATTTGGAAGGGTATTTGGAGTTGGCAGTTGTGTCCATTTTACAGAAGTGATAGCAGTACCTTTTGTGAGGCATTAGGTACTGCTGTTAGATCTGTGAATAGGTGGAATATAGAGCATCCCATTCTGATCAGATTTTCTCATTTCCACTCCAGCCAGGAAACAATCTAGTGTATTTTTCAACCCTCATCTCATTCTTTTCTTTCTGTAGCTTTTTTGCTCCAGTTTGGAGGTATGCCTTTTAGTCCTTTTGGGTAGCCTCAGATATTGGTCACCTTTTTAATGGTGTTATTGATTGATCCAGAGTCGGCTTCTAGCTTCTGTATTTTATGGTAATGGGACTTTTATCCTTAGTTCAGCAAAACTCCCATTAACTTCAGTGGGAACTTTGCTTGACTCACCAAGTCTAAGCATTATGTTTTTGCAGTTTGATTCTTTCATGGATTAGGCAGCTAAATAGAATTCAAAGAGTTTTTCACTGTTTTGTTTCACTGAACTATATAAGGTATAATACTCCTATCATTTAGTCATCTTTGAAACACCCACTTCTGTTGTTTTTATTTCCTGGTCTGCAGGGTATATTGTGCTGACTGATACAACACTGTAACCTAGTCCTGGTATTGAATCTTTCTTCTTTTGGAATAGTCCATTTTGGGTGCATTCCACAAGTAATGCTTTTACCCATCTCACTTTGATTCACTTACAGACAGGCTCCCACTTCCTCAGGGTGATTAACGTGAGTTTATCCAATTTGATGGGTCACACTGTGTGCATATTACATGCTGTAAATCCCGTTACTGATTTGGCAAACAAAGGAACTTTGTAGAAAAGAGTGCAGCTGGTGCTCTTCAATAAATCCCTGAATTTGGACGGAGGGATTATAATCACGGTTGGAGTTGCTGAATATACGAGTTGTTTCTCTATCCCGTGAAGTTCTGCAGCATAAGACAGTGAGTCCCATGCCCAATTCTCCTAAACAACTTTAACATTGTCTCAATAAATCTCAGATTTGTATTTAATAAACAAACAGGATTTTGCTGGTTAAAAGTGTACCCCAGGCTTAATACTTGTCTTAAGCAAAGATATTCCTGATTAGAATTGTGGAAATATGATAGTTTCCCACTAATTTACAGTAGGTGGTAACAAGTTAATTTTTATCTGGAAACTGCATAGTATGAGATCTACTATAAGGGGGAAAGTACACTTTGGACTGGATAAAGTTTTTCCTTTGTTACCTCACTTTTAGAGTTCAATTAAGGCAAACTTGTATAAAACCAGTTACCTCTATTCAGAAAAATCACTGTTCTATAGTAAGAGATATTTTATCTTTACCATATCAAAGGTGAAAAAGCTTAATTTGGGGGGTGAGGGAGAAAGGTGTATATTATTTTTCCATTCAAAAATGTTTCTTTGGACACTAAAAACCACAAATTACTTCAACATTTTTATAAACAGTGTAAAATTGTAACCTACTGTATAACCCTTTAAACTGGGTCTGTTTCTAAGTCGAACTGTGCCATTTTGTTGGGTACCTGAAATTTAAGAACCCACCCGAGGAAAATGCAGTATGCTGATGATTGTTGTTGAGCATTTGCAAGTGCGGTTTTCTATTAAAATGACAGACAGGACTGAATCCTGCATATTCCAGTAATCTGCTTAGGGCAAGGACAAGCGTAGGAGAGAATCTTTCTTTCCCTTCAGCTGAGGTGCAATAGCATTTACTCTTAAACAGAAGGCTTTCCCTTCTCATTAATGTGGTGGAATAGGGCCTCGCTACCTTTCATACCCTTTGTTTTAAAATAGAAAGTTTGAGTGGTAGCTTCTGCAAGTCTGTGGCTGCAGAAAACTAAATAAATAAAGAAACCCTCTTTCTTCATTAATATTGCCCTACCACAGGATTCTGACCACTGTCATCAATGCTTTGGACACCTAGATCTTAAAACTCAAATTCTTACAAAGCAGAAAAGAAAAATCTCAGATTTTCTTTAGAGGGACATTTAATCTGGTTCCTCCATTATAAAGTAAGGCATCCGTATTTTATGACTGTTGTTGAACTGGTTTCTTAACACATCAGAGTAACTAAATTTTCTGCAGTAACCCCTTCCTCCTACACTATCCTCTAAATAAAGGAAAACTTAATTCTTTCTGACATTTAACCCATTTTCTTATGGCCCCCTACATATTTGTTTAATATACATCAGAAAAGGATTACTAGACAATTGTTTTATGGTTGAAGGGCATTCTACAACCATTTCCTTTACAAAAGCTGGGTTAGCATTTTGTTCGCTTTCATAAATCTAAAAAGGGGAGGGCCTGGCTACTAGTGACTTGTTCTAGAGTTAAGGAAATTAAAACAGCTTTTAAAAAGCTACCCTATTATTTACCTGTTTTGGATTTGACAAACTGCTCAATGAGGAGAAAATATGATTGTTGTAAACTTAGGCCCAAATTCTGGTCCTGTACCCTCAAATGCAGGCAGATTCCCTAGATTTGGATTGTATGCTTCTGTGGCCTAAGTTCTGCTCATTCATACCTGTGCTTTTATTCTAAGACCCGAAAGGTGCTTAATGTTCCCTTTCAAGAAGAATTTAAATGGGAAGGTACTATGCTTTCATTCAAAAACAAAATGAGGCACTGAGGGAAGTGCAGGGATAAAAACAGCTCTTTTGTGCTGGGTCATTTCCATTCTGTACTCAACACACACAAAAAAATCAAGTTTTTCACTATGAGAACCTATTATGATTTTACAAGCTTAAAATAAAAGCTTTTCACTGAACTTATTGAGGTTGCTTCTGGAGGTTGGCTCTTACAGGGAACCAGTCAGAAATAGTGCTGCAAGCCAGCTGTTTATCTGTACCTTCCTGTGCTAAGTTTCAAGTTCTATTTTTCTTGTAGAAGTCAGACATAGGATAGCACTACAGGAACTTAGAGGTGGAACATCATCTCTGTGTTCCTTGGATTGGCTGTAGTACCACTACATAGGTGAATGTTGGGGAAAAATGTAAAAGTATCAAATTGAGCAGTAAGTTTGAATAGTTTAAGCTGAGTAGCAATGCATGCTGAAAAGGGGTAATTCTGATGCACTTAAAGAATCTCCATTTGTTACTGTGCCATGGGCAGTATGTGTCTGCAATTTCACTCACCAGTTAAGTTTTCCCTTTGTTAGTGTTCAGTCTTTCAGATTGAATGCTGGCTTATACTTCACGGCAGGGTATCAAATGAAGCCTGATCTTTAGGAGCATGTTTACCTCTCTCACTGAATGGAAGAGGTAATGATTCATTTTTTCCCCCTAGGCATACTCATCTCAGAAACAAGGGTTGGAAGTTTTCTGGTAGCATGCATACTCTACTTATTGATTTGGCAAATGAACATTGCATCATAAAGTGTACTATAATGTTTTTCCTGGAACTAAGTTGTCAAATTGGTGTTTCTACAGCAGGAAACTGACACAGACTACACAACTTATGCTGCTTTGGAAGAAGGATTTTAATTTATTATGCCTTTATTTAGTAGGCAGTTCTCAGTCAGAGTTTAGATTTGCTACAGTGCTGTGCTTGTAAAGCACTAAACCTTTGGAAATATTGAATCAGAAAAGCCTCGTCAACTAGGAATAGCTCTATTTGCTGTCTTAGATACAATGGCCTAGTGTATAAATTCAGTTCCCCCCCCCCCCCAAAAAAAATTTAACCAATTGTAAACTAAATGTCTAGGGGTGTGCTTTAAGTACAGTGAAACTAAAGGATTTTTTTTGCCTCTTAGAATTTCATAAATAAAGGACCAAGGACTAGGTTCCAACTCTTTTTACCAAGTTATTGTGAAGTCAAGCTCTGTATCATGTTATGTGCTAAACCAGTTTTAGCCATCTTCCAACCTCCATTTGTTTTCACCAAATAGTAGGATGAAAAAATAGAACCTATTGCTTGCTAAAACGACATTGGTTTCTGAAGTATTAGTTGTTAATGTAACTATGCTCTAAAGGCATCAGTATTGGTAGCAGACATTGACAGGTTTAGAATGCCTCTTGCTGAATGAAAGTAGTGTAGTGTATGGTTCAGAATACTTAGTGTAAACTTTTTTCTTCCCATACTTTGTTAATGGATTTTTCAGTGGTATTGGCATGGAGGATGAAGATCAGAACTATAACTGGCTTATCACTGTATTCATGTTAAGGCAAAGTACTGTTTAAGTGGGAAAATACAAAATGCATCTAAAAGTAGTATTGCATTGCAAAAAAACTAAAAATTTAAAAAAAAATCAAATTGTGATTTATTACCTCTCTGAAGTCAGGAAAGAAACTTAATGAGGTTTATCTAATGAAACTGAAAGCATACAGCTACTAGCAGGCTGTATCCTAATGTGGAGAATTAATTTTTGGAAGCATGAAAAAAAATAAAAATCATGCATCTTAATTTGCCCCTCCACAATGTAGGTGTAGGTTATATTATGGAAAAAGCATAAGGATTCTCTTGCTTAAAATTTAGTGTACAGAATGGTAGTTAAATAGAAGTGACATCTAGAAATTTAGTTTTGATTCCTGCTGTTTAAAATCTAAACCAAATTACACTGTTCAGATAAATAGCCAAAGACATTTTAAATGCACTAATTTACCTGTATATTTTCATAGGAAGGACAAAAGTGTGAAGTTTCCTGAAGATTTTTCAGTTACTCTTCCTAATCTGCTTAAGTTCATTTTACATTACTCAAGTCTACCTTCAGCTGCACCTGACTCAGAGCCCTGCACCAAAGAATGTCCACAGAAAGAGAGAGTGTTACAGCAAGAGCATCTCTCCCATTTAAGGAGTGAGATTCAGAAATTGAGATCTGAAGTCAGTGCACTACACCAGGCTCAAGATCAGCTGGAAGCCCAACTTTCTAAAGCCAGAAAAGAAGAACATCAGCTACAGCAGCAGAAGCATACACTGGAAAAGCAGCACAGTATCCTCCGGCTCCACAGTGAACAGTTACAGGCACTCTATGAACAGAAGAACAGGGAATTAGAAGAAATGGCTGAGAAGCTTCAAGAATTAGCAGATGCATCAGAAAACCTCCTTACAGAGAATGCTTTACTAAAAGTCCTGCTAGCAGCAATGGAGGGGAAGCTGGAGAACAAAGATGAAACCAAGAAATCCATTCAGTCAGAGGAGACTCGTTCCACCTACAATACTGGGCCAGTTCTAACTGCTATAGAGAGATTACATGAAAGAGAAAGGCTTGATGTTTCTGATGTTGATACCACAGTGACTGAGCATAAAGAAAACAGGACAGAATAATTACTTATGTTATTGGGGGGGGAGAAAAATCAGGAATGACACTGTATTGGGAAGATATTTATGCAAATTTTATTTGTTGTAAATAAAATATTTTCCAATTGTCTAGAAAAAAAAAATCAAACCAGAATATTTCTGTAATACGTCAAACAAACAATTTACCAGATCTTGAAACCTAAATGGAGATATGGAAAACACTTTCCACTTTACTATTGCACTAATTTGATAGCCATTTTGTTAATTTAACCTAGGTTAAAAATAGTAAACTCCCAGGGACAGCAGAGTGAAGCATCTCCTACAAAGGGACCAATTTTTGCACTGGCTTCCTCCCATGTCTCCCAGAGGAAGTGTTCATTTAGGAACTTTGACAATTTATACTTTTCTAAGAAACAGCTGAAGTTAGCCACCATCACTGCATTTTGCCTTTGTTTATAGAATTGACTGGAAATGTTGAATTTGTTTATTTAGTAAACTTGAATGAAAAGTCAAATGGTTAAAATATTCTGTCATTCCTGTTGCATACCACTTTTTCATGCTCCACAATTAACTTATAATTGTCTTTGAATTGTAAGTTAGGGAACAGATTTTCATAGATGTTTCATTATGGGGAACAAAAGGCAGAATAATCTCATCCAACCTCCTTATGCATCCCACTAGTGTTCCCTCTACCCCCTGCCCCTCAAAAAAAAAAGTGGGAGAAGGAGAATAAAGTTTGGCATCCCAAACAAGCAAAGTCTACTTATTGATTGCTCAGCATATATGCAGTTAAGAATCCAGTGTGCATGTATAGGCAAGTGCCTCAAACCATAGACTGAAAAATAAAAAAAATTGGCAGCTTTGGAGCCAGTAAATACACAACACAGTGTTTGCCCCCTCCTAGGCAGTTGTATTCCACACTGCACTTGGACAAGCACTTCCTTCCTCCATTAGTAGCAATGGATTTGCTTAGCCAAGCTGTGGCTTTTGCAGTGAAAGACACTTCATTTTCTAGCCTCAGTTTAATCAGTGCACACAGGAATAAGAATGCAACTCAGCAGCTTGTCCTGGAGGGAGCTAGCAATTTAGTTCATAAGTGGACTATCATTTGCTTGCAGATAAAGTCATTAAGGCCTAGCTAGCTAAGAATAAATAGTGTTATTCCCAATGTATAAGCCATCATTCACACCCGTATTTAGCATAATAACTGTTCCCCCCCTCCCACCCACCCACCCCCAACAGATGGTGGTGGTTGAACTTTTGCATTATCTACTGCTTGTACATCTACCCCCCCTCCCCCCCTTTGCATCTCAGTTTGCTAGGGAGTTTAACTTAAACTAAAGGAATTCCTTAGCTACATATGAACTGGATCTGGCAAAAGCTGGGTACTTAGTGGAATATGCAGGCCTAAAAGTTAGGAAATCTAGAACATTTTAGCCATGGTTGAATGATTGTTCAGAACCTATGGTACTGTTTACAATCTATAATTTTACACTCCAAGTACCTGTTATAGGTTTCCCTTTAGTAAACAGAAGGGAAAAGTTAGGAAATGTGGGGCCCCTTTGTGTGAAGGTACTTCAGATTGCACCAAGTTTTTTTTAAAAAACTACCCCTACCCACAATTTTTCCCCCCCTCCCTCTATTCCTTCCCCAACACACCCAAAATTTAGTTAGCTGTTACAAGATAGATTTCTGTCTGCCCTGTAAGTTAAGAATCCAAAAAACTTACCTACAAAATACATTAACTGTAGACAATTTGGTATCTAGACTAAAAACAGTTTGCACAGTTGGCTGTTTAGCGTCATGTTTACATATGCCCCAGCTACTAGGTACACATATAAACAGTGGTTATGGGGGGGTGGAGGGAGAAAAAAGAGAAATAGTTACATTAATGCCAGTTCTAGTGAAAACACCACTTCTGTAATTAACATGCTTGCTAACAGGAGGGAAAGATCTGCTCTACTGCTATTTTTAACTCCACTGGAAACCTTCTGGACCATGCATGAAGTAGCCATCATTAGTTCCCAGATTGGAATCTGCTAAAATGGCAGTTTCCTTGCAGTAGCTACATGGCTAGGACAATCACAGTATTAGCTGTTATCAGCTAAATCTACCCTAAAGGAAGAGAGGTACAGTTCCTTCCTTATAACCCCTATCCTTTCTGCCTCAAACACCTTAATGAGATTATATATACCTGCATTCAGGGAAAGTGTTCTGACTCAGTCCCATAAGAGGTTTAAAAACTAAAACTAAAAAGCAACTATTCTGTCTTTATGGTTATTCACTCAGAATGTCATAGCAGAAACAGGCTTTAACTGCAGATTTGGTTTTGAAGGTCTGGCATCCGCTCTGTAATCATGTGGCTCAGAAGTCCAAATGTGTGTTACTAAGAATAACTTCATACCACTTCCATATGCTGGATAACAAAAAGCCAGAACTCCTGGCAGCCTATTTACAGTTCACAGTTTTAAGTAGTTCACATTACAGTAGTAGTTCCATCAAAATAGGCTCAGCTAAACATTCAAGTAACAAAAATGCAATTAATCTTTTCATGCCAGCATATCCCTGCATGTCCATTGCCAGCAATGGACTTTATACCAGAGAAGTCACCTCTTAGCACTAAGGAGTTAAAATACAGGATTGATGGATAGTCTAGTTTCTCAGTGCATGCAGTGGCAAACCAACAAAACCATAACTTTGAAGTCTTATCTCAAGGTGTTTTACGAGAGAGCAGTATGTATGTCCAGTTTCTTCACAGTATCAGTTCTGCTGATTACAGACATCTTAAGTGTAGTCCAAATACACATCTGTGCTGCTCGAAGTTAGCTATGAATTTCTGTGCCATTAGGAGTCAGCTTTGCTTTTCTCTCTACACAAGGTCCTTTAGCAGAATACTGCACCAAAAGGAAAGGCTCTTTGGTTTCTCCTTCTCCCACAATGCTCTCTTCATCTTCAGACTGGCTGATCCTTTGCAGACGCAGGTAACACCAGCAGCCCAATATCAAGGCACCAAGAGCAGCAATAGCAATCAGAATGACTATTACAGTCACCACTCCAGTGGTAGGGCTGTGATCCATAATAGACATGGTCAGGATTTCAGGACAATTATCAGATCTTAAAGATGGTTCTTCAGTCCTTGCTGTCAGTTTTGAGATGTCTGAAGCAGCATCTTGGAACTCCTGAAATACAGAAATAAGAGCTGTAATGCAATCATACAGGGATATTATGGTTTTGCCTTATTCAGTAGCTTTAGTGTTACGTGGCCAGTGCTACAGATTCTGGCAGCCCACCCTCTTGCTGTCTTTGGTTTTGCTCATTTGTTTGCTTGGGAAAAATAAGTATTAGCCCTCTTTCATACAAAGCCTTTTAATTTGCATGGCCATACATTAAAAGTGTTAACTTTTTATTCAACATCATTTTGCCTTAGCTTAGACTCATAGGTTACATATGGTACATTTCCTACTGGACCAAAGTAGTGAATGACGCCGAAGAAAATGATCCTGAATGCTTATGGATCAATGTTGAAAGCACAAGATGAGGTATTAGTCAGTGTATGCTACAGATCAAATCACAAGAGTGAACAGGAGAATGACTGCCACCTCTCTACAATGAGAATGGAAAAAAGACTGATCATAGAGGACTTCAGTGTGACTGACATATGCTTGAAGTCTCATGCTGCCAGTACTGAAACATCTTTGGAATTTCTGAACACTAGAGATAATTTCCAAACTCAAAGGGTTGCGGTCAACATGGGGGGAATTCTATATTACATCTTGTCAGAACCAAGAGGAACTGAACAGCTAAAAGTTAATAGTCATTTCCTGTACTTCTACACAACATTAAAAAAAACCCATACTCCCTCTGCCATGGAGTCTCAGAGCCAGTCCATTGACTCTGGCTGCAGGGCTAAGAAGAGCAGTGCAGACATTAGAGCTCAGGCTGGAGGCTGGGTTCCAAGACTCTCCTCCTTCACATGGGTTTCAGAGCCCAAAACTATACGGCAATTTTTAGCCCTGAGCCAGGTAAATAATGAAAAGCACAAGTCACTGATTCAGATCTATCTAGATTGCTTACACCATGTCTACCCAGCACACATGATGCATTTTAATATGGCTACAAGTAAATGTGCACATCTGGGAACAAAGAATGTAGGCCATACTTACAGGATGGGGGACTCTGTCCTGGCATGCAGTGACTGAAAAGGATTTGAGCATTGTGGATAACCAGGTGAACATGAGCTCCCACTGTGATGCTGTGGCCAAAAGAGCTAAAGCAATCCTGGGATGCATAAACAGGGGAATCTTAAGTGGGAGTAGAGAGGTTATTTTACCTCTGTATTTGGCATGGATATGACAGCAGCTGGAATATTGTGTCCAGTTCTGGTGTCCACAGTTCAAAAATGTGGATAAATTGGAGAGGGTTTAAAGAAAAGCCACAAGAATGATTAAAGGTTAGAAAACATGCCTTATCGTGAGACCCAAGGTGCTCAAATCTAGCTAAACAGAGATGGTTAAGGAGTGATTTGATTAGTCTTAAGTGCCTATATGAAGAACAAATATTTAATAATGGGCTCTTCAATCTAGCAGAGAAACCTATACAACATGATTAGGCCCTACCAAATTCACAGCCATGAAAAATGTGTCGGACTGTGAAATCTGGTCTTGTGTGCTTTTACCCTATACTAGACAGATTTCACAGGAGAGCATTTCTCAAATTTGGGGTCTTGAGCCAGAAGGGAGTTGCAGGGGGGGGGGGGTCACAAGTTTATTTTGGGAGGATCACAGTATTGCCACCCTTACTTCTGCACTGCCTTCAGAGCTGGGTGACCAGACTGGTGGCTACTGGCTGGGCACCCAGCTTTGAAGGCAACACCCCACCAACAGCAGCACAGACGTAAGGGTGAAATACCATACCAGGCCACCCTTATTTCTGTGCTGCTGCCTTCAGAGCTTGGCTGCCAGAGAGTGGCGGCTGCTGACTGAGGGCCCAGCTCTGCAGGCAGGAGTGCAGAAGTAAAGGGGGCAATACCATACTATGCCATCCTTACTTCTGCGCTGCTGCTGGTAGTGGCTCTGCCTTCCTGGCCAGCTGTTCAACTCTGAAGGCAGCACCACTGCCAGCAGCAGCGCAGAAGTTAAGGTAG